AGTATAATGTTATGTATGTCTCATTCAGCATATGATTTCAAGTATAATGTTATGTATGTCTCATTCAGCATATGATTTCAAGTATAATGTTATGTATGTGTCATTCAGCACATTAATATTATTATTATTATTATTATTATTATTATTATTATTAATATTATTATTATTATTATTATTATTATTATTATTACTATGAATACTATTATTATTATTTAGCACTCAAACAAGACTTATACACTTCCACAAAAAAAAAAAAAAAAAAAAAAAAAAAAAAAAAAAAAAAAAAAAAAAAAAAAAAAAAAAAAAAAAAAAAAAAAAAAAAAAAAAAAAAAAAAAAAAAAAAAAAAAAAAAAAAAAAAAAAAAAAAAAAAAAAAAAAAAAAAAAAAAAAAAAAAAAAAAAAAAAAAAAAAAAAAAAAAAAAAAAAAAAAAAAAAAAAAAAAAAAAAAAAAAAAAAAAAAAAAAAAAAAAAAAAAAAAAAAAAAAAAAAAAAAAAAAAAAAAAAAAAAAAAAAAAAAAAAAAAAAAAAAAAAAAAAAAAAAAAAAAAAAAAAAAAAAAAAAAAAAAAAAAAAAAAAAAAAAAAAAAAAAAAAAAAAAAAAAAAAAAAAAAAAAAAAAAAAAAAAAAAAAAAAAAAAAAAAAAAAAAAAAAAAAAAAAAAAAAAAAAAAAAAAAAAAAAAAAAAAAAAAAAAAAAAAAAAAAAAAAAAAAAAAAAAAAAAAAAAAAAAAAAAAAAAAAAAAAAAAAAAAAAAAAAAAAAAAAAAAAAAAAAAAAAAAAAAAAAAAAAAAAAAAAAAAAAAAAAAAAAAAAAAAAAAAAAAAAAAAAAAAAAAAAAAAAAAAAAAAAAAAAAAAAAAAAAAAAAAAAAAAAAAAAAAAAAAAAAAAAAAAAAAAAAAAAAAAAAAAAAAAAAAAAAAAAAAAAAAAAAAAAAAAAAAAAAAAAAAAAAAAAAAAAAAAAAAAAAAAAAAAAAAAAAAAAAAAAAAAAAAAAAAAAAAAAAAAAAAAAAAAAAAAAAAAAAAAAAAAAAAAAAAAAAAAAAAAAAAAAAAAAAAAAAAAAAAAAAAAAAAAAAAAAAAAAAAAAAAAAAAAAAAAAAAAAAAAAAAAAAAAAAAAAAAAAAAAAAAAAAAAAAAAAAAAAAAAAAAAAAAAAAAAAAAAAAAAAAAAAAAAAAAAAAAAAAAAAAAAAAAAAAAAAAAAAAAAAAAAAAAAAAAAAAAAAAAAAAAAAAAAAAAAAAAAAAAAAAAAAAAAAAAAAAAAAAAAAAAAAAAAAAAAAAAAAAAAAAAAAAAAAAAAAAAAAAAAAAAAAAAAAAAAAAAAAAAAAAAAAAAAAAAAAAAAAAAAAAAAAAAAAAAAAAAAAAAAAAAAAAAAAAAAAAAAAAAAAAAAAAAAAAAAAAAAAAAAAAAAAAAAAAAAAAAAAAAAAAAAAAAAAAAAAAAAAAAAAAAAAAAAAAAAAAAAAAAAAAAAAAAAAAAAAAAAAAAAAAAAAAAAAAAAAAAAAAAAAAAAAAAAAAAAAAAAAAAAAAAAAAAAAAAAAAAAAAAAAAAAAAAAAAAAAAAAAAAAAAAAAAAAAAAAAAAAAAAAAAAAAAAAAAAAAAAAAAAAAAAAAAAAAAAAAAAAAAAAAAAAAAAAAAAAAAAAAAAAAAAAAAAAAAAAAAAAAAAAAAAAAAAAAAAAAAAAAAAAAAAAAAAAAAAAAAAAAAAAAAAAAAAAAAAAAAAAAAAAAAAAAAAAAAAAAAAAAAAAAAAAAAAAAAAAAAAAAAAAAAAAAAAAAAAAAAAAAAAAAAAAAAAAAAAAAAAAAAAAAAAAAAAAAAAAAAAAAAAAAAAAAAAAAAAAAAAAAAAAAAAAAAAAAAAAAAAAAAAAAAAAAAAAAAAAAAAAAAAAAAAAAAAAAAAAAAAAAAAAAAAAAAAAAAAAAAAAAAAAAAAAAAAAAAAAAAAAAAAAAAAAAAAAAAAAAAAAAAAAAAAAAAAAAAAAAAAAAAAAAAAAAAAAAAAAAAAAAAAAAAAAAAAAAAAAAAAAAAAAAAAAAAAAAAAAAAAAAAAAAAAAAAAAAAAAAAAAAAAAAAAAAAAAAAAAAAAAAAAAAAAAAAAAAAAAAAAAAAAAAAAAAAAAAAAAAAAAAAAAAAAAAAAAAAAAAAAAAAAAAAAAAAAAAAAAAAAAAAAAAAAAAAAAAAAAAAAAAAAAAAAAAAAAAAAAAAAAAAAAAAAAAAAAAAAAAAAAAAAAAAAAAAAAAAAAAAAAAAAAAAAAAAAAAAAAAAAAAAAAAAAAAAAAAAAAAAAAAAAAAAAAAAAAAAAAAAAAAAAAAAAAAAAAAAAAAAAAAAAAAAAAAAAAAAAAAAAAAAAAAAAAAAAAAAAAAAAAAAAAAAAAAAAAAAAAAAAAAAAAAAAAAAAAAAAAAAAAAAAAAAAAAAAAAAAAAAAAAAAAAAAAAAAAAAAAAAAAAAAAAAAAAAAAAAAAAAAAAAAAAAAAAAAAAAAAAAAAAAAAAAAAAAAAAAAAAAAAAAAAAAAAAAAAAAAAAAAAAAAAAAAAAAAAAAAAAAAAAAAAAAAAAAAAAAAAAAAAAAAAAAAAAAAAAAAAAAAAAAAAAAAAAAAAAAAAAAAAAAAAAAAAAAAAAAAAAAAAAAAAAAAAAAAAAAAAAAAAAAAAAAAAAAAAAAAAAAAAAAAAAAAAAAAAAAAAAAAAAAAAAAAAAAAAAAAAAAAAAAAAAAAAAAAAAAAAAAAAAAAAAAAAAAAAAAAAAAAAAAAAAAAAAAAAAAAAAAAAAAAAAAAAAAAAAAAAAAAAAAAAAAAAAAAAAAAAAA